TGAATATATTTGACCTCCCGATCAATTAATGAATCTCTAAAATCATTAATCTTAGTTTAAAAAAAAACATTAAAAAAATTTTAACACTAAAATTTAACTAAGACTTAAGAATTAACTGACATTCCAATTTTGAGATGATGTATATGAATATAGCTAATAAAGCTTTAAGAGATGTGAACTTATAAATTTTTTAAGGAGACGACTGTCCCTTGATATCATTCCTACATCTTCATATTTTAATTTTGGATAAGTTACGCATTGTATCTAAATTATTACTTTTGTTATGTTTTGGTACCCGACCTTTATTTCGTTTCAAAATCATATGTAATGTTTAGTTTAAGTTTCATTTTGGTACCTCGCTGATAGATACTTAATAATGATGTTGACGTGTCACCATACGATAATACCACATTATCATTGAAATAAAAATAAAAATGCCACACCAATAGTTATGTATTGTTTTGAAACAAAATAAAAATTAGATATCAAAACAGATATAAATATTAAATGTGTAGATTATCCTTAATTTCTGGAAGGAAATTTAGAAGAAGTTTCGGAGTCAACAAGGAGAAGGAGCCCAATAAATCCGTTGAAAATAGGGTGGAGTCACAATTTGCCTATCATTAACTCATCATTAGTCTAAGGCATCTAGAAGATTATAGCTCCAAAAATACTTTTTTATTACTTAGAAGCTACTTCATTTTTGACATTTACAATCCAAATTTTAAATTACGTCTAAATAATCTAATATTTAATCACGTGCATATTTTCTTAGTCATAGGAATGTTTGAATAAGTCTGACTAAAACTTATTTTAGTTTAATATTAACGTATTTTTATCTCTCTATTACTTTAAACCTCTTATAAATTTAATTTTAATAGTTAATCATGTATTAATTTAATTAGAAAAATAAAATAAATACTTATAGTTTTAAATTATAATAAACTTAATTATACTGATATATTTTTCTTTTCATACTTTTTTAAATAATACTAAAACTACATTTTACCCTAATAGACGTTTGGTTCTTAGGATGTAAGATTACTTTTGGGAGTAAGATTATTGGAATGTAACATTACTTTGAGAATGTTGTATTACATTGTTTGGCTTATTTAGTAGGAATATAAGATTACTTAGATGTAAATTTTCCTTGTGATATATGTTTGTTTTAACAAGTTCAAATTTAACATTAAATCATAAATATTTGAATAAAAATTTATAAAAATATTTTAATTGTTACACTATACATGTTTAAAGAAAAAAAATACAACCAACAAGGGTTGATTCAAGTGGTAAGTAGTTTTATATTGCTTAAGCAATGTCTCAAGCTCGAGTCCTTGTGTATATAGAAAATCTTGTTGGGAGATTCACCCACCAAAACTAGGTGTGCGACGCGGGTCGGTCCGGATTAATCAAAGCGAAGCCTTGGAACCGGAAAGACAACTTAAAAAAAAGAAAAAATAAATTTAACATATAATTAGTATATCAAACTTATAGTTTTAAATAATTTTTATAAATATCATATTTATTTATATAAAGTATAATATAATATTTAAAATATTATTGCGGTCTTGAGTAAATAAATATATAATTTTTAATGTATAAGATCTATTTTTTTAATAACTCGCAATTAGATATTATTTTAAATAATTATTTTTTTAATAATAACATTTTCCCTCATAAAATTATAAAATGATTAATACACTAAATATTAAAAATATAAAATAATTTTACCTACTCAAATTTATTAATATTTTACTAAATAAACTATTTGTATATTATTATTGTTATTATTATTATTAAGTTTATATTTTTGAGTAAAGTTCGAAGAATAAAAATTTAGAATGATTTATATGAAAAGAATTCATTATTTCAGATATATTTGTGTCTAAAGTTGTGGGAATTGTTCATTACCTAAGAATTTGGAAGTAATAACATATCCAACATTTTAACCAAAAAGTGCTCTATTAGTAATAATTTTTACCTGATAATGATCTTTTCCGCGAATTAAATATGAAAATACAATTTCGTAAAATATTATTCTCTTGATAATGATCTTTTCCGTAAACCAAACAACTCTTAAAGCAATACTGACAACTATTCTTAATAAAAAATCAAAATATAATCTTTAAACCATGACTAAAATACCATTTCTTTGAATTCACTAATATTCTTGAATTAAAATATAAAATTTATTAATCAAATAAATGTATACTGTGAATATATTACAAGTTTTCGAAATACATACAATATCATACTAAAAATATTAAAAAAGGAACACTTAAAAGATTATAAAAGAAAAAATAATATAAAATTCAATTGATATTAGACGCTCAATTCAGTAATTCACACAAAATGACAAAGTTTCGGAAACCGTCACTCAAGTCCGAGTCAGGTACATCGAAAGTAGTCTCCAATTGAATTTAGACACCCTAATGAAACGAAACGAACAGAGCCCAAAATTAGGAAAACGTTAAACTCAGAGTCCGACGAAAATTTTTATATTAATAAGATAAATTTAGAAGGGATGAATTTATAAAAATTTTATATAAAAAAACATATTATGAGTATTAAATATGTATAAAATATTTAAAATAAATGATAATTTTAAAATTTTAATGGATATTCTTACCTGTCTTGAGTAGACCCTGATTAAACCGTTCTCATCCAACCAACCAGTTGTCATTAAATAAGAAACTGCAAAAGAGGCAGCCGCCATTTGTAGAAGAAATGAAGATTATAGAGCCACCCAGGTCTACATTCATTGTTTTTTCCACGCTGAGCCCACGTCTCCTCCAACCTCTTTCCCAATTGGAAACTGGTCCCCTCTTTCACTTTGACCACGTCCCCCTCACTCAATATATAACCCACCCTCACTCTCTGTTTTCTACCAGCAAAAAAAAAAAAAAAAATCTCCCATTAGAAAACACAAGATCCGATTTTTCTTTTTTCTTCAGACCATGGTGTTCGATGATTCAGACAGGGTGTCGAGACATGTTAAGATAAGGGAGGTTTGGTCGGATAATCTAGAAGCGGAGTTCGAGTTGATCAGTCAAGTTATCGATGAGTACCCTTTCATTTCCATGGATACTGAATTCCCGGGTATTGTTTTCCGGCCGAAAGTGGATCCGATCCGGCCTTACAACTCCCAGTTTCGTCCTTCCGATCATTACAAGATCCTCAAATCCAACGTCGATGCTTTGAACTTGATCCAAGTGGGTCTCACTCTCACCGATTCTTCGGGTAATTTACCCGACCTGGGTTCCAGCGACGAGCGGTTCATCTGGGAATTCAATTTCAGCGACTTTGACGTAGATCGTGACTCTCACGCGCCTGATTCCATCGCCCTATTGAGGAAGCAAGGGATTGATTTCGAGAAGAACAAGAAGGAGGGGATCGACTCGGTTCGATTCGCCGAGTTGATGATGTCGTCCGGACTGGTTTGTAATGAGTCGGTGAGTTGGGTGACATTTCACAGCGCGTACGATTTCGGGTACTTGGTTAAAATCTTGACGCGCCGCGACCTGCCCGGCGGCTTAAACGAGTTTCTGAAGGTTGTGAGGGTGTTATTCGGGAGCAGAGTTTATGACCTGAAGCACATGATGAGATTTTGCCAAAGCTTGTACGGAGGGTTGGATAGGGTGGCCAAGACCTTGAATGTGAACCGGGCGGTTGGGAAATGTCACCAGGCCGGCTCAGATTCCTTGCTGACATGGCATGCGTTTCAGAAAATGAGGGAGGTGTTTTTTTCTGAAAGATGGACCGGAAGTTCATGCTGGTGTATTGTATGGATTGGAAGTTAATTAAATTAATTCATTGATATAGTTGGGAATTAGCCCGAGAATTGGTTATTCCAACATCCGTTCAATTCTTTACTTTGTCCAAACACTCCGCAATTCCTACAACTCACATTTAACAATAGAATTTGAATTGTTAATAATTGATTTTGCATTTCTTGAAAATAGTCAAACGGGATTTCAAATGTACGAGAAGTACATAGACTTTGAAACATTTAAAGGAATGAAAATCACATGCAAAATGACTCGTTCAAACACATTCTTAGACTATTTCTATCTTTTTATGTCGAATTTCGTCCAAAGTTTTAGTACTCTTTTTTAGATACTTCTATCCATCTTTCTTTTAGTACTCATTCAAACATATTTTTAGTACCTTTTTTATGTATAATTGTCAAAATTTTACATGAACATTGTTTTTATGTGCAATTATATACATCATTAGATATTATCTTTTTAAGGTGGCCTTTTCAAATAAAATGTATTAAATGTAAAGATAATAATTCGATTGTGTTTAACATAATGCATATGTACATTAATTAATATCGAACTTATCGAGTGGTCGTACTGATAAAAGGAAATATTATTTTCTTTAAAAATCCTATGTTCGAATAATTATGTCTGCATTGATTAATTGTTTTTGAACAGATACTATTTTATAATCCCCTCAAACATTTGACAATGAACACTCAATCAGTCACTCATGCTCGAACTCATGATCTCTAAAAATAACAATGATTTCTTTAACCACTGAGACAAGTTATTTCGTGAAATTTTGATATTTATTAATTGACCAAATAATTAAAAATATTTATATAAATTTAAATATCAATATTTATCTTGAGAATATAATATTCCTTTGCTTAATTTTTTTTAAAAAAAAAACTGATTCCGGGCCTCCGTGAAAGAGTAGACAATAACACGGTGATGACACCGAGAATTCAGCTCCAAAAAGCATTGGAGTAGCTCCTCGAGATAAAAATCCAAAAGTTAACCCTGGGAGTTTGTTTCTGGAAAAAATAATAATGCAAAGGTAGCGTGGGTGGTGCCCTAACCTTGAGAAATAGTGAAGGGAAATGAAGACACGTACGTTGAAATTTGGCCTCAATTTCAGAAGCTTTCCTGGATTTATCACCAACCAGAGAAAAACTAGAGGGCCACTATTGTCATTAAATATCTAAACGCCCCTTTTTCTGATTTTTCTCTTTTTTTCTGTAAGGTAAGCTAAACAACAATGGCGATAACGGTCCCAACACTTACTCCTCTCTCTTCCACTTCTTTATTCAATGCCCAATATCACTCCAAGCTTCCCTCCTTTGCTACAACTTCCGTCAAACCCAACCTCAAGAGCTTTAAAATCAAAGCTATCAAAGAAAAAGCTGAAGAGATTAAAACCCCTTCTTCATCATCTGTGGATGAAGTTACAAAGAAGTACGGCCTTGAAGTTGGGTTATGGAAGGTACGCATTTCACCTTAAGATGTTTTCTTTTTCTTTTTCTTTTTGGAATTAGAAGCTAACTTCTGTCTGTGATTCATGTGTATTTTTTTTTTTTGAATTTCACCTTAAGATATTCAGCTCAAAGGAAGAAGAAGGGGGAGAAAAGAAATCAAAGGGGGATAAAGCAAAAGAGCTTCTAGCCAAATATGGAGGAGCCTACTTGGCAACCTCTATTACTCTCTCCTTGATATCCTTCTCCCTTTGTTATGCACTCATCAATGCAGGTGTTGATGTTCAAGCATTGCTGCAAAAGGTAAAACAAAATTATGTCTGGGTTGCAAATTTCCCTTGATGCTTCATTTCATAACTTCTGATGATGGAATGGAAGGTTTCAGAGGACTTACCATTAGATGGAATTTTCAGGTGGGAATCTCAACCGATGCAACCGGAGAGAAAGTCGGGACCTTTGCTTTAGCATATGCTGCCCACAAAGCTGCATCTCCTATTAGGTTTCCTCCAACTGTGGCTCTCACTCCTATTGTCGCGAGTTGGATAGGAAAGAAGGTTGAAAAAGATCAGTGAGATGTGTGGTACTACCAAATTCAATGCCAGTCTCATAATATTTAGTCTACAAGTAAAACATGTCTTCTCTTTGGTTGTTTCCCTTGGAGATTTAAGAGTTTTTCTTGAAGCTCCAAAATGATTTAGGTTGATTTCAGTGTGCTTGCAATCGGGTTAATTGCAAGAACAACATTGATTCGATGAAAATACGATATAAGACTGTTATCATGTAAAAGGTCCAACCTATATACAAATCCAGCATACGGGACATATCACATCAAAGTAGCAATCTACAAGTTCTGCAAATGATAAACAGATCAAGGAACCCAATCCTTTTAATTTATCAGTCATCGGATTCTGATCTAAGACAGTATGAATCTAAGGTATTATGTGATACAATGCATTGCAGCCAGCATCAGCTTTCCTGTTTCTGGTAAAATGTTCTCAAAAATAAGCTTGCTATGCACTGAAAACTTATTACATTTTTATTTCATCAAAATTTTCTCAATACAGTAAAAACAAGGTACAGCAGATCAGTTGTTTGTCACCTCATGATGTCTATATGAGCTATGCTAGTCAATGTGACAAGAGGATCTGGTTGATGCCATAAAAGCAAGAGAGAATGGAGTAATATACAGAGACTTGTATAAAATATGACCTTATTACTACCAAGAACACGCGGATCATTTTTTATTACTCGCCGGTACAGTGATTGTGATACCTACTTCCTGTTCGTTAGTTCCTCCTCTGAGGGTCTTTAAGTAGCCAACTTTTGCGAACCTTAACGCCAATGTCCAAAGTATCAGAAATGCTCTCAACATAAAACCAGCTGAGGAAACTTAATTTTCACATATGCAAACATGCCTTTCACTTTCTGGTTGAGGTAGCAAATGGCACTTCAGTTGCATTTGATGGAGGTGTTTGGGGACATGGTGATCTAACAGTAGCCATGACACAGTCCTCGTTTAGTGCATCAAACTCGTTCCACTAGATCAAAGCTATAGTCAAGAGTCATGGAATAAAAACAATAAGAAAGAGGAAAAATTAGCATTAATCTGAACAAATAACAGAAGAGGATACATTCAGTCCGCCAAATGTCGGTGATGCTAACACTAGGATCTGATAATAGCCAATAATCAGCATCACTCTGCAAAATAAATCAGGAAATGAGTACTATTTATCGAATAATTTGAAGAGCAAATGAATAAAAACTTCATCAGCAGAGTATATTGAAATGGAAATCAATCAATCTTTGCTTTCAACATTAAAGAGTTGACTTACGTCAATATCAGAGGGAACGATTTTCATGATCCCCGTCACAAAGTCCTGTGAGGAATTAAGATCTGAGCACATTTTAATAGCGTCTTGCCTCTTCATTTCAATCTCCTTCCCTCTGCTCTCCTCTGGCACCGTTCTTGTTGCTGGATTCTCATTCGAGCCTGAAGTTGAGGGAAAGTTTGAAGGTGGATCCACTCCTTGTATCTCTTCAAATTTCTCCTCAAATTGATTATAAATATCAGAGAGAGACAGAGAGGAATCATCAAGAAAGTTGACCGTTTTAATGCTTGGATGGACATTTTTCTTTAGCACAAAGCATTTTCCATGCCAGAAAAAAGAAAAATAAATGTTACGATGTCATCTTTTAAACAACAAGAAGCAGTGGTACCTGACAAGGTAAACATCTATAGAACCCATTGAGCTTCTAAGGACAATGCTGTACCTCCTTTGGGGATAGTCAACAACCTGCTATTAAGTAAAACGTTGCTATTAAGATTGACCATGAAAACATAAAACACATGTTGGATTCTTCAAGCTTTTGAGATTACCTCATCAGGATCAGGGTCTTCCAGAGTGGTTCCATGTGGAGCTTTAATAGCTATTAGTGTTTCATTCTAAACAAGGGAATTTAACAACAGAAAGAAGAAAGCATCCCCAGCTTTAGCAATGCTAGATGACTTCACAATTACCGAACCAAAATCATTAATATATATAGTTTTTGAGCACTGAACAAACCTGGAAGCAGAGGAAGCTCTTGATATCTTACTCAGTCACAAAAAGACACCTGATATGGGAAAAGATGAAATGATTTAAGTTGATGAGATTACGGAAAAAAGCGTAAAAGAATTAAAATCTTGAGTGGGAACTGAAGATTCACTTTTGATCATTTTCATCTTCACTGAGGTACTTCAATCTTTCTTGCATTTCTCTGTATAATTCAAAGAAATATAAACAGCTATCCAGAGAATGAAATGGATTGAACTGAGACATAGAAGGAGATCATAGCAGCTTAACCTGATTTTTCATCTAATCTGTGTTCCTCAAAACAAAGGTTCTCAATCTCTGCCTACAAATGTTACCATTATGAAGTTTTCATTACAAACTTGGCTGATGATAAAAAGAAAAAACATTGATCCATCATTTCCTTGTATTGTACTTATTAACAATAAAACTTAGCTGAACTTATCAGAGTATCATCATTTATGCTTAGAACATTCAATTAACAGGCCGGTACCTTCCAAGCTGAAATTAGAGGCCAAGAAAGACAAAGGTCGAAAAGATGTCGAGGCTTTTAAAAGAACTCTACATCTGAAAAGCTATAAAGGACATTCCCAGTAGCTTAAGGAGGCACTGAAGGATCCAAACTTATACATTAGATTGGTTTTACCATAAATGAATATATAGTCTTTACCAAATTTCAACAGAACGACACTTTCATCATTTGAGATGGAACTACAACTGATGTTGGATTTAACACAGTCAAAAACTGCAATAAAATAAACCAGAGAGAAGCACAAAATTAACTATTATTACATGTACATGCGCCTGATTAGGACAAAAAGGCAGTAAAACTAGATAAATTTTCTATCAAGTACAAACACTAAATAACAAATCATAACAGCTGAAGCTTAATCCATAAATGGATCTGCACCTCGATTAACAATTTGTCTACAATTATAAAAAGCATACCTGCATAGTGGCAACATTCTCATCAACTTCGTCAGGCCTTGAAACATCAAGCCCCCTGATTTGAATAAAAGAATTGAGTGTTTTCTTAAGCAGAAAATCAATCAGAGCTGAAAAGATTTTGAGAATAAAAGATGTAGCTCATACTTCCACTGAATTCTGTTCTTGATTTTCTTTTCTATGAGACCAATTCCTTCAAGAACATTGGTAATGTCATATATCCTTCTCTTTTGCACCTTTAGAAATAGAAAACCATCAAGAAATAGAATTGTATGACCGGATTGTTTGGCCAAATGAAACAGGTACCTCCAAGGTACCAGCAGCTTTATTTAAATCAAGAATACCATCTTCAGCTTGTTTAACCAAGTTGATGAACGTCCTTGTCAAAAGCCCTGAGTTAAATTTAGAGAACATTATTACGATTCACTCTCTCAATTCCACAAGAAATTCGAAACAATGCCAACAATAATTAGCCAATTAACTTTTAGAATCATTTTGAAGAAGAAGAAAAATAAATACCTAAGGAACTATCATAACGGCAAGGACCTCCAGGAGTGACATTATTGCCAGGAGAACCTGCAACCTTCAGAAGTTCATCATTATCTACATCAACTTTTATTCCTAATCAGTAGAACTAGGTCAAAAAGTAATGGTTTTGGAAGTAAATTTTTTTTGGATTTACAATGACCTGTCACTAAATAAGAGGTACATCGAAGAATCAACGACATCATGCTGACCATATAACTTGCATACAATACTACTTACCAAGATTTGAAGGAGTCTGAGGACCAGATTTACTGTTTTCTGTAAGCCTTGATGTTTTTTGAGCCTTTCCCCCTTTTCCCGATAAAGGTGTTTGGAGGGGGCTGCCAACCACCTCAGTGTGCCCTGGAGGCCTTGCCCAGTCACCAGACTCAACTTCTTAATCTGCTACATTACTCTTCCTCTTTAACTAATATGACACAATATTTTCACATTGCAATTAGAAAGATAGGACATAAATTTTTGGGGACAAAATTAAATCAAGAAAGAAACTTCAGGCTCCATTCAAGAGAAAAACTCATATCAGAATATAAAAGTAAGTTGGCTGGAAAATATATGGAGGAAGTATATTTACAAGCAGCAGAACTATGCACCAAGAAAGGAATACTGTATTTGCATTAACTGAAATAATCAACCTTAAAAGCAGTTATCTAAATAAAGTAAGATAAGCGAAGAAGGGGATAAAAGAGTATCTTTCAACCAATTACAGTAGACAGTTTTTGAGATCAATGTTCTGAGGCATTCAACCTTCTAATGGAAACAACAATCATCTACATTTGAAAATTATCATGATGACCAGGAGGTTTTGTTAATAAATAACTAACACCAATAAGAATCTATAGTGATCATCAAAACAAACAAAACCAATGGCCACAAGGGATGAAAATTAATTGCAAGTCAATTAAAGCAATATAACCTTGTATTTTAGTCTAGCAAACTACATTACTTAAACTTTAAGACAATTATACAGCTCATGTTGCTCGGGACAAAGTTAGTAAATTTATATAAGAAAGTAAAGTACACTTAATCAAAAAGAAAAAGAAAAATGTCAAACTAGCTTGACAAGAAATTATCACATGCTAAAAAACTTACCACTGGAGAAATGATCTTTTATTAAACAACCAAACTTCAAGAACTTTTACTACTCACAATGCCATCGATCCCAATCAGCATTATAGATTCGTAAAGAAAATAGACAAATAAATGATATCATCACAGGTTAAAGTGGGCTGTTATTTGCCCAAGTGGAAAATCTTCACTTCTGCTCAAACTGGGTTAGCAAGAAGCTGCATTACATACTGCTGCACTATTAAAAACACTCAAGACTAGACAAGTTTGTGCTTAATTCTACTGCCGGCTAACATCATTTCCAGAACCAGTAGCCGAAAGACAGATAATTCAAATAACAAAAAACTCTGAATAAGCCATGGCATTGACTTGAACTTCCAGCAGTAACACTTGAGAATTTACATTAGAAGTTGATGTAGCAGCATATTTTGCCATTATGTTTTATTTTCATGTTTACTTTATGCTTTGGCCTTGTTTTTATTCTTAGATCCTTTAATAAATTTCCCGACTTCATCTTTTTTTTTTAATAAAACCCTATTTATTCAAATTAAGCATAATACCAATACAAGACAGTAACTAACCCAACAATAAACCAATTTCGTCAAAACCTGCCAAACTTCCCAAAATAAAAAACCCACAGGGAATACCCATCAATTAAAA